CATGACATCCTTAACCCATTGCCCATATACAGGTGGAAGTGGCTCTTTCCATTTCAATAATATCATTCTACGGGCCAAAAGAGTGCAAAAGGCCCAAAGATCAGAGTGTGATTTGGAAAGACTGGCTTTACAAGGCGTCACCCCAAAAATAGCTATAAACGGGCAGGGTGCAATTGGAACACCAAATATGTTGGACATGGTTTCAAATATGCTTTTCCAAAAGCTGCCCAGTTTTGGACATGCCCAGAACATGTGAAATAGGGAAGCAGGCTCTCGTTTGCACCGGTCACATGTGGGGTCAAACCCATCCTTGATTTTGCTCAGTCTAGTTTTAGCACAGGTCTTTTTTAGTTAATTAATTGATTAATAAATTAATAACCCTAAAGATGCTACTAGAAGTGTTTCAGCTACTATTTTTGAACAGTGGAGTGTTTACTCTGCTGGAGTGTAGGGCCATAATTGTGCATTTTTAAACATTTCATACATTTTTTAAATGAAGATTTCAATATTCACTTATAGCTACATGCAGATTCCTTAACCCTCCAGCATATAGTTTCATACTTACATGACTAAAAAGTCCCTTGCTTGATTCAACGTCTCACATCTTTTAGCTCTATGCAGCCTGCTACAAGTTATCAAATATACTTTGTATATCTAATATATCATAATGGCACATGTATTCCAATTCCAAAGGTGTAACCACTGAGACGACACTTGGTAACATCTCTTCGATGTTCCCTGCAGCATTGGGTCTGCCAGATGTTATATTCTATTACAAGTAAGTGAGCTCACAGCTATTCATTCATTTTGTTGATCCATTTAGATGGTTCAGTAGTAAATATTCATTTAAAAAAAAAAAGAAGAAGCTTTGATTATCTTTTAGAAATTATAAGGGAAAAGAGAATCAAGAGCAGTTTAAAATTTCTCACTTGGCGTGTGCTTTTGATGTTTCCAGGTCCAGTGACGCAACTCAGTCTTGTAAACAAGGCCGGTCGGCTACAGTCAGGATGAGATGTGATCCCACAGTGACCACTAAAAATCGCATCATGCTGCCAAGGTGCTGTAAACAAAAACCGAGCTCGACCTTTGACCTGTCTAGAGTCGGCTAGCGACAGCTTTGTGTTGTCACATTCAGAGCTGCAGACAGAGTGACTCCCGTGAGTTCGTTTTTAAAGCCTCTGACCGTCTGTCTTACTTTCTTTTCCTCCACAGTAATTGTTCAGAGGGGACATGCGATGGTTGCACTTTCCACTTTCTGTGGCAGAGCCAGCATGCGTGTCCACTCTGCACTAAAAACCACTACAGAGAAATCGTCAGTGCTTGCATCCAGGGAATACAGGTAATGCTCCGTACCCGCGGACATACTGCCAAAAATCCCTTTAACTCCTCCTCTGCGTCAGATCCATCATCACATCTTTCCACATTTCATGTTGTTTTATGGAAAGATATAATTAGAAAAAAATATTTTTTGTCACATTGGATTACAGAAAAAATATTTAGACAATGATTAAGATAAGAGATAAAGTGCACTTTTCCTTGTGATTTAAAGTGAAGCACAAGCATCTTTTATGGAGATTAAATGTCAGTTCAGCATAATGTGAATTACAATTTCCAGCAGGTAACATGAGAAGACTGATAGCACTCAGTTTAATATAAGCTCACTCTTCCAGTGTGTCCAGTTAGCATAATGCTTACCATATCTCAAGCTCATTCATCAAAAGTCTAGTTTTCACTGAATGCTAATCTCCTGCTGCCTGTAGCTAACTGAACAATATGAGCCTGATAGCGCTCTGCTTATCAGATCTCTCCACCAGAACGCATAATTCTCAAGACAGACGAGGGAGGAAAGTTGGACTAAATGCTCGTATGTGTGTTTCAGAGAACCACCTATGTGTGGCAGCAGCCTGTGCAGTGTTACGGAGGACAGCCGCTGCCTGCACAAAAAGTCAGCGCTTGCGTGACTCTGGATTTTTGGCTCAAGTTTGGTGTTTCCACTGGAGCCGTTGCTGCTGTGTTGCTCATCAGTCTCATCTGTTATTTTTGGAAAAAGACACGCAAGTGAGACTATCACACTCTATACTTCCTGTAGTGTTTATTGAACAGCTGGCACATCCAAACCTTTAAATACATCAAAGACAAAACAGAGAACAAGGTGCTGTTCCTGTTGTCTCCCATCTGCAGGCTGCAGTATAAATACTCCAGGCTGATGATGACTTCTGGGGGTAGGGAGTGCGAGCTGCCCACCGCAGACAGCTGTGCAATAATGGAGGGAGAGGATGCAGAGGACGACCTCATGGACCTCACCAAGAAATCCTTTTTCACCAAAATTAAGTCTTTCTCACGCGAGGTCAGTAACCCCCTCATTCCCGTTCACATTGAGCTACTTGAGCTGACTTACCTCGCTTCATGTTGCCATCAATATGTTTCCAGAGAACATCCGACGGATTCGACTCGGTTCCCCTTAAGTCATCATCTTCACGCCAGCGACTAGTAGAGGAAGACTCTGATGATGAAATTGAGCAGATCACTCTACCGAGGCACAGAGGAAGTGTTCAGATGTAGACGGTTTAGCTTCAGAGTGGCTTTTTCTGTCAGAAAATTGTTAGTTAATAAGATATTTGCATTACTGAGGGGTTTGAAGAGAATGTAGAGACATAATTTTGAGGATGTCTTGAAAGTTTTTAGAACTAAACAGAGGCCGAAATATTTTTATTGGTCCAAAAATGTAAAGACCGAGAATTTGTTTCATTACAGCTACTGTTAGACTGCTGTAATGCTCTATTTGTTGGATTGTCAGTAAAACAACTTCACCTTACACATAGATGGAAATTTGAACATATTAATCCATTTCAATGGCTCTCAGTTCAACACAGAGTCACCTTTAAAATCCTTCTATTGGTTTATGAAGCACTCAGTGATTTGGTCCTCCTTGTACATATCTGACTTGCTCAATGTCTACAACCCGATTAGCTGTCTCAGACCATCAGGGGGAGATTTTTTCCCAAAATTAGATCCAAGCTTTTTCTTGTGGTCCTATTCTGTGGAACAAGCTGCCTACTGATGTATTTTACAATTATGTCAACATTTACCAAGAGACTCAATATCTTTTTATTTCTTCTAAGTTTACACCTGGTAACTGTGTGTGTGTTATTTTAGTTCTTTGCAAAGTTTGTTTTGTTGTTTTTAATACCTTAAGGCATAGTAGACCTGCATAGGTTTTTATGTTTTTATCTTTTATGTTTACATGTAATGAAATGTTCTATATAAATAAAATGGTCATTGCTATATTTTTATGTAGTGTTGTTTCTCTATTGAAATACAATATTAGTGTCCATTTGGGGGATATAGTGTATTTTTAAGGCCCAGGGTGTTTTCATGACGGTGTAGGATCCAAATTTATTTAGAACCTGTGTACACGTTACCGTGTATATCTTTTCTCCTCTTTTATACTTGTTTACATCTTGTTCAGTCGTAAATTTATATCTGTTGAGTGAGTTATATTTGCCAAAGTTTAACACTTTCTGCTGTCTAACAACATGTGATTATGCTTTACTGTAAAGTAAATGCATTTTCTACATTAAAGGTCTCTCACCAGGACGTGACCTCTGATGCTGCCTTCAGGTACTTTTTTTTAAAGCTCACTTCACAAATAAAAAAATAAATAAAGTGGTTGCTGGTTTAAGGACGATAATTATCGTGTACATTTTGAGTCAAGCGGATGAATATGGGTTTTTAGTGAATTTATTGTAAAGTAAACATGCTACAGGAAAAAAACACTGTAGGCTTTGTCTCAGCCGAGCTTCTACGTTTTTATGCTGTAATTCATAGATAAATGTAGCTGTTTTTTTCCAACAACATATCTTAATGTTACATCCTGTTTAATCGGGTGTATAACTAAGATACTTTAGTCAAGTACTCTCCCATTCACGCGGAAAATTCATACCTTTTATCCATTTAAACGGAATTATTTTCGATATTCTGCAGATTAAAATGCTTAAGCCACATTCAGTTTTTTATTTTTATTATTATTTTAAATCGTCTAACACCGATTAGTTCTCCGAGTATTTTCCCTGCACTACCTGAAAGCAGCACCGTTTCAGACGTCGTCGGCACAGCTGTCCCAACTTTTTTTTCTTTCTTTTTCCCGCGAGATTTTGCGCTGTTTAGTGAAGCGAGTGGGGTGAAATCTCGGGCGAGCGTGAGAACCAGCAGGGTGAGGAGGAACAAATAACGTGGAGACCTGAAAAGTGTGTGCACTCATTGCAGCATTTCACAAGAAGGCAGCACGGTAACTTTAAACGACATCAGCTTCTCCGGGGACGAGAAACTTTTCGTTTAGCGCCACTTTTTTGCACTTTGGTAAAGTTGAGCTCTGCGCGGCTCGGAGTCCCCACCTTGGAGCAGAAAGTCGGTCGGTGGTCGGCAGTTGGTCCTGCAGGAATGTCGCGACCAGAGAAACACGATTTTTATCGAGAGGAGGTGAACAAGACGATATGGGAAGTCCCGGAGCGGTACCAGAGACTGACCCCGGTTGGATCCGGCGCCTACGGATCTGTCTGGTAAATCGCCTTCCTCCAAAAAGTTCAGTTAGGTGAAGTTAGCCTGACTTGTCCATTCATTTAGACGAGGCCTGCGCTTCACAAGCTAATGGCGAGCAAGGTGGAGCCGCGGTGTCTGTTTGAGCTAGAAAAGCCCAGAACTTGTTATCTTTGACGTGTTACCGAGTTGTAGTTATTAAGTGCTAATAAATTCCTGACTGTGAACTAAGTATAGAAAGTTTGATCCTCATGCACTGATCAGTGTGCATGTTAAGAGTCACACAAGTGTTCTGGTCTCCTCAGGTTACTCCGACCACATTTGTTCTGGATAAAGACATTTAATGCACATTGCACCGTTAGTGCAACAAATATAGCTGCTTGCTGCTAGGTAGGTTGTTTGAATTAACTCAATCCCTTCATACTGACGATGTGAGCACGGCTTCTGGATGTTTTTCTTATTAGGAGCACAAGTGGAAAGTTGCGATGTCCACTTCACTGATGTTGCATGGATAAAGAAAGTCAGAGTGCTGTAATCTAAAACAATGAATAGACCAATAGATTGACTAGTTGGCTATTTAAAAAAAATCTATAATAATAATAAGTGCAAACAGTTTTCTCTTGAAGTCACTGTGATGTTAGTATCTTTTACTTTTGTGGCTAACTTTAAAATAATGACTGAAAATGATCAACAGCTGCTAAAACCTCCCAAGTTGGTTGCTATGAAAACCAGCTCCTGTCTTCATGCAAATTTGATAGGCAGCCTCATCAAAACCTTAATGTTCTCTCAGTGTTGCCTTTTACTCTTGATAACTAGTTATATGTTAGGGAGCCCTGCAGTTAATGTTTGATATGTCATATACAAATCTGCAGCTCAGAGGTATTTGCATGCACAGCAGAGTGGAGATCTTGCCTCTTGAGGGTGGGTTTCCTTAATGTTGCCTAGCGGCAGTGAGGTCATCTTTGGCTGAATGGACCCTTTACATAGGTTTTTAATTAAATGGATTGTGCTGCTGATACGATCTGGGACACAACATAGTCAGTGGTACACTTGTTTTAGTGAGCAGATGTTTGTTTTGCAAATGGAAGAGGACAGCTGTGCTGTTGCCGGGCAATAGGATAATCTGTTGCTGGTCAGATTACTGTCAGCTCGCTGCTACTGCTGTGCTGACTGTGATTGTTTTTATTATATTGTTAGCAGTTACGTGATGACTTCAAGTTTACTGTAGCCAGTAATTTGAAACTGAAACTGAACAGCATGTTCTAAACTGTGTGGCTTTATCAGAAGTCGATCCCATATCATCATAACTAATAAATCGAACGAGTTAAGGAGCGTCTTTATCCAAGAAGCTTGCACAACTGAACACTGTTATGCGCAAATTGCTAAGAGGACATAGTCTTTTTTAGATGTGGTCATACCACTTAAAAAATACTCTTTTTGTTTAGGTGAGGGTGCTGCCTAGATAGTGTCTGCATTATGTAAGACAAAGGATGGCTGCTCTGTTTTGACTTCCTTCAATCAAACACGAGGTCCTTCTTATGAGGGAGCTGACGGGATGATTTAATATCTAATACAGCTGTATGTGGGATTTACATTCCTGCATGCTCTTGAAATGGGTAAAAGATCAGTGCAGCAGTGTATGTAGGGAAGAACAGTTAAGGTGACTCAAATATTTACTGAGGAATTGAACCAGAGACTAGAAAGATGCTTCGAGCCCTCTGTTTCTTGCTATGATGATAATCCCTGTATCCATTTTTATTATCAGGTTGGCATTGCTATAGGTGGTTTCTTTGTTAACCTTTAATATCGATTGATGTTGATGTGTCTGCGGGCACGCTGGTGTCCCCACAGCAGTCACACGAGGCCATCCACAAGCCGTGACTCTGTTTAGGTGAGCTAAGCAGGGGTGGGGTGGGTGTTGCTTTTGGGTGAGAGACAGTTGGTTTTCAGAGCGGGGGATATACTGCTGCCAGGGCTGCTTGCAGTCTGCTGAGAGATGGCATTTTCTGCTGATGTCGTGCTTTTCCTCCAGCCTTCAGCGGCTCTTTCTGCACCTACTTTGGTTTTTTGAGAGCAAACTCAGACCCAGACTGAGCTACGTGAAACGCTTTCGTTCCTCTGCCTGAAAGGACGGGCTTGCTTTGATTAAAGCCACAGTCTTTCAGTGTTAAATAAATGCTGATCACTTGTTGGTTTTATGATCTAAATTGGTGTATGCTAAAAGTTAAGGTGTTTTACCCAATGAGATTGAAGCTCACATGTATGCTTTTGACTTTTTTAAACAGCTCCGCCATTGACATGGAGACCGGTTTGAAGGTCGCTGTGAAGAAGCTCTCTCGGCCTTTTCAGTCCATCGTCCACGCCAAAAGAACCTACAGAGAGCTGCAGCTGCTTAAACATATGAAACATGAAAACGTGAGTGACTTGTCTCTCTTCAGTTTGTTCCGCCTGTTGAGAGAAAAGCCCTGCAGGTCTTTGCTCTTCAGTTTTGAGCTTAACAGTGTTTGTCTCATTCTTGCAGGTAATTGGCCTCTTAGATGTCTTCACCCCTGCCACCTCTCTGAAGGACTTCACCGACGTGTGAGTTGAATGTGCTTCTTTATGTTATCTTAAATTTAAAGTATCAGGGCTTTTGCATAATTTAACAGTGATGTAAAGCTCAGCAGCCTTGAGTTTCTCAGCAGCCCACAATCCCGACTGTTCCTGGAAAACACCTGGAGGCACGCCAGCAGACTGAAAACACTGGCAAACATTCTTTAGACTCTCTGCTATGTTAGTTATTCACTCACTGGCTGTAGCCAGTCTCTTCATCACCAGCTTCCTTCCTTCTGTTTCCTGATTCCTGGTTTTGTGGAACATGTAGTACATGCCCTGGTTTACAGAAAAACGGGTAGTTATTGTTTGTTGCTGTTAAAATTTCTTGGAAATTGGAAGTGAACAGCTTAGCAGTGACTCAGCATGCAGTTGTGCGTGCTGCCTTGCTTGTTATTGGTGGAGTGTCACTCTTTTTCTTCTTCTTCTTTCTTTTTGTTCTTGACACTTAAAGTTCAAACTGTAGCAGATTCCAGGGAACACCTCATCCAAGAATGCGTCTCAAGTGAATGCTTAGAGTCGCTCACTTATTTATGATTTCATACTGAAAATGTCCCTGTATTATTGACCCATCCTATTTACTTCATTATTTGAACCAAGCGATACTGGAAGCATTATCGCCGATATCTAAAATTCATGAAGGTCAGTGTGGCAGGAAATTGCACATCCTGGGAGCATAGAGTGGGTAAAGTAAACATTGAACACAACACCAGTTTTCTAAGTAAAGTCTGAAGGTGCTATTGACATGTCATTTCTCACCAGATGTTGGCAACGATCCACACATTCAAAGAAATCAAACCATAGATGTCCATAAATTCACTTATATGTAACAATAAGAAATGACATAAAGAAAAAAGCATTGAACACATGAAGAAAAGGAGGTGCAGAGAGTCATGGAAAGTCATGACACCGGCTAAAATGTATCAGTAGTTAGAAATAAATCCTGCTATTGGTGCAAATTAATATCAGCTTGTTCAGTCCCAAGTGATGGCCTAAGGCAGGGGTGTCAAACTCAAATACACAGTGGGCCAAAATTCAAAACTGGAACAAGGTCGCGGGCTAACATTAATATTTATTGAACAAGAAATTTTCCTCCAGATATAAGAATGAATCTTTTCTTATGGACTCAAACACATTTTGCTGAAAAACTGAATATGGAACAAGCAAAGCTTAATACTAAACAATATATATGTTAGCTGTATAATTCCAGTAGGCCAGCTCTAATAATAATTTGGTATGGCCTCGCGGGCCAAATGTAATTAGGCTGCGGGCCAAATTTGGCCCGCGGGCCAGAGTTTGACACCTATGCCTTAGGCCATAGGTGTCAAACTCTGGATTTGGCCCGCGGGCGTCTTCTTTGGCCCGCGGGCCAAGAAGACGCTACATGTGTGGGGCTGTTTTTCAGCAACTGGCACGCTTCATATAAGGATCACTGGAAAAAATGTAATGACACATTATTGATTATGAAGATGAAACGAGGGTGGATGTTTCATCGAGATAATGATCTCAAACATACAGCGAGAGAGAGAGAAAATTAAGCTGCTATTAAGCTGCTAGAATGGTAGCCAATCATCTGACCTGAATCCAATTGAAAGTCTGTGGAAAGAACTAAAGCCCCGAGTTCATTGAAGGGGCACACAGTGCTGTAATCACCAGCAAAGGCTTTTGCAAGAAATGTTAGATAAACTTCAGTAAGCATGTTCAATACATTTTCCCTGTGCCATTTTTCATTATTACACGTACTTTATGAACATATATGGTTTGCATGGATAGGTTTTTGGTGAGATTTTCATGTCAATGGCACCTTTAGAGATAGGGCTGTTCGATATAACGATATATATATCGGATGACGATATAAAAACGTCTATCGTTTCATTTTACGCTATTGTTTGTTTCGTGGTGTCGCAAAATAAACTGTTTACGGCAATATTTTTTCATGGTTTTGATGGTCGCTGTAGTGGTTATATTAATTTCTTAAAGTTCTCTCATCCAGTGCTCTTATATTTTATATAACCACACTACAGACGACAAGCACCTGTTTTTATGCGTTGTCGTTAGCAACAACGACGGTAACAGCATGTGTCCGCTTGTTTATGTTCCGCATAAACCTTTCACAATAAAGCTCAACATCCTGTTGAGACTTTTCAAAATAAACTGAATCACGTGAAA